TCCTCCCCTCCCCCCTGTTTGAATTTCATCCTGGGGAGAACCCTGCTACCTTATGACAAAATAAACTCTAGTTCCTCCCATTTCACTGCGCGTTGTCTTATAAAAGGTATTTGAAAATACCTCCAATGTTGTTCAAATTCTCCGATGTTGTTGACACTTTCGCGTTGCCCTGCCAAGCAACCGCACAGCGGTGCTGCGGTACAGCGGTACGGGTGTAGCAAAGATAAAAACATGTGACGTCACCTCACCACTTCGAAGCTAAATTGTTTGGCAAACAGTCGGGTGTTTGCGCCAGAATGCCAGTTTTCTCACCTCTTTCTTGTGGGTTTTAAGCAAACACGCAGTGAAATGGGAGCAACTAGAGTTTATTTTGTCATAAGGTAGTTTGATTATGCATGACACGAAGTATTTGCTAGTCTAGTACTGGAGAAATTAGCGTTTGGATGCACATAGTGCGGCTTTAATTCAATGGTGCAATGTATTACCTTCACAATGGCGCCAATACATTGCCTTACTATGAGTTCATGGTGTTATTACATTGGATAGTAATTTTTCCGGCATAGTTTTAGATGTCAGGGGCGAATCCAGGATTTTTGAAAGGGTGGTGTCCAGGAAGAAATAAAGGGCACTTTTTCTTGCTTAATTTTTCTGGTGTTTTAATAAGCTGCCGAAGGCCCTTAGGGAGGGTTTGGGGTCCTCCCCCCAGAGTAAATTTATATAAATTGGTGCATTCTGAGAGCATCTGAGCAGTAATTTTGATTTCTAGAATGCAAGATGGAATTCCAAATTTTTAGCAGAAAATTCTTTTAATTTTTTAGGGCACTTTGAAATTAAAGGGGGAGGGGTCCGGACCCCCCGGACACCCCCCTAGATCCGCACCTGGATGTCCCAGGATCAGTTAGGACAAAACAAAAAATCTCAGATCTGCACCTCTAATAATATTGAGTGGGAAACATTAATCAGGTCTAATCCCTAACGGGTCTTGCAATCTTACGCCGTAATACACTCTGACTTAGCCCGACTATTAGCATATGGTGATACTACAATGGATACTAATCATGAAACCCTACCATGGCGGCACAGGATGAAAACTTATTTTCGCATGATCCCAAGCCCTCAGTTAGTAAACCTTTGACAAGGTGCAAGACAAAAGAAGCAGAAGAGTAGTGGGTGATAAAATTAGCACACTGGTAAAAATGCACTAAGGAGCAAACGAGAAAAAGCAAACGTTAGACAATGCAAGCAGTGAAACAAACGCAAAAAAACTGATCCTGCCCTTAGTTATAGATAAGAGGATCACTACGTTAACCAAAAACGTTACACTTACAGTGCATATAACAAATGCGTGCTTAGTGCCACGTGAACAACATACACTGGCGTTAGCAAACAAATTATAAATTAAACTCACCACCATAAAGCACTGGTGTTATTAATCAAAACTGTTTAACATCACCAACCGTTTCTGTGAGTTTTCAGCAATGTCACATTAATTTAGTTACTGCAACTAAATACAGAAACCTAATGGGAAACGAACGGAGCAATTAAATTTCCCAATATAGCGACATGCATGTTAGCGTAATTTTGAAAGTCAGCACTAACTAATGTGAAGGATACTAGAAAGACTTGCACTCAACTTGCTAGATTTGCTCGATTGCCTTCAATTCGCTAGAAATTTACGACAGCAACTGCTATTGCCTTCAGAAATTCCCACACTCCAAAAATTTCAATTACAAAGCGGTCTAACAGTCTCAATCAGCTAAATTTAACTATTCAGACATTTCATTTTGTCTGCGTGAATCGCGGAAATGTTTTCCACACTGAAATGTTTCACTTGACCAAACCTCAACCGAGAAGGCTCGCAACAAAGCGAAAAGTTCAATCGCACTGAAACGCAGAATAAATTCAATCCGAAACCACGGAAACGTTTTCGTTTGAGGCAAACCAGCAGATTTTAAAATTTTCCCTTAGCTTCAGAACTGCGACAACTCTTTCCAGTCTTTCCAGCATCCTCGGGTCGTTACAACGACGATGTTACGGACCACGACGTCGCGAGAAAACTCCCGGACGTCGCCACGGCAGTGAAGACCGTGAGAGAAAAAAAAAAGATGGACAGCAACTAAAAAAATAATAACTCGCCACCAGAAACGTACCCGTACGCACGGTTTCCATCCTCATGCCACGACGACACATACCCGCCACCCTTGCGATACTCTCGCACCCACCTGCGAACCTCTGGACTCGCGGGGGCGCCGGCGTCGCCGGCGGCGGTGCCCATCGGCGAATCCTCTCGCTCCTTCGACGGCTGGCTGTCGAATCGCTCCCGCAGCCTCTCCACGTAGCTCTGCGCGGGCTTCTCTTTCTCTGCACCTGCGCGGCAGCAGAGCGAGCATTACACGTGGCGCCCTCACGCGCTCAACGACATCACAACAACATTCAGGATTCGATTTCTTCGCCTTCGTGCGGGCGACAGCGAGTCGCCGCCACTCCTCCGCCATCCGCGACAAAATCGCCGCTTCGCGCTGCGACGGCAGCACCACCTACCTGACTCGACGTCGTCCTTCTCCGGCGAGGATGCGTCCGCGTGCAACGTCGGCCCCCTGGTGGCGCCGCCCGGCATCTCCTGGATGGGCGCCTCGCGCTCCTTCTCCTCGTAGAGGGTTTTCGCGCGCATAACTGCAGCAGAAGTATGAGCTGTACGGAGAGAGAGTGCGCACAGCACACACGAGGACAGGGTATTAGTGGTGCACCACACGGAAAGCCACCAAGCCACGAGCAACAAGCCACTAGACTACCGTGAACGAGACGAGACACCGGACGCTGTGCAACCAGACGGGATTTGGGAAGAATTGCGAAGATGTGCGATCAGGCGAAGGGGTCGGAGATGCGCTCGACTCCCGAACGAACGTTGGAACAAACGAACGAATAAACAACGAAGTGCAATCTTGGACAAACGTTCTTCTAAATGCGACGTCAGACACGACAGACGTACGTTTTCTGTGCATGATTACTGTATTAATTACCAATCATCATATTGTATTGGCATTGGAAACGTTGTTAAATACAGGATGCCTTAGTAGGAGTGACAGATATTGTATTAAGATCGATGGATGCATTATTAATAACAACAGGTAGTAGCAGCAAGATGCATTTTAATTCCATCACCCCCCCCCCGAGATGTTATCAAGCCAACTTATCGGGTAACCTATCCTCTAATGAAGTTATAAGGTTACAGCAATGGTAGAAATGTACACACGCCAGTTCTCATCAGGAAAGACTCTTGTTTACAAGTTCCTGGCTGAATAGCTTTACTTTGGCTGTAATAATAGTTTAGTAAGTTTATTCAGTGAACAAGAAAGCCATCGTTAGCAAGAGTCGCGTTTCAATTTCAAACGAAATCCGATATGCTAGCGAGAGTCAGTCGTGCCACGTTGCAGTTAGCTGGGGCTGAGAGGGTCTATGTCCTCCAGGGTACTATCGGCGAGTACCCTGGGTACGGTTCGATATATCGAAACGTACCCTGGTACTATCTAATATGCCGGACCGTACCTCGTCTACTCCACTAACGAGTCTAAGGAGTCGCCTACGCCTACTCCCTAACCCTAACCCTATCCATATCAGATAGTTACCAGGGTACGTTCCGATATATCGAAGGGTACCCAGGGTAACCTTCGATAGTACCCTGGGGGACATAGACCCTATGAGCTTAGCTGGGGTTGAGCTGCATTGTGCGTGCTTGTGCTGGTGCGGTATGCTTGAGTAGCCCCACCACCATCATGACACAGTTAGTAATTACACGTGGAGCACAAACACCACACAGCATTACCTAACAGATACAGACCAGCCATGTGCGCTGACCCATCTACAATGACCACCACCATTAACTAGGGTGACTACGACCACATACAGTGCCGCCACAGACAGTGTGTGCAGGAGTGTGTGCAGGTATCAGTATGTTACACAATGCAAAATAGCACATGATTTCCACGCACGTGAGCGAGGCAGACAAACACGAAGAGCCTTAGGGTATAGAACAGCACCCCATTCGACACCGCTGGTGATGCAAGACGTTAAACATTCATACATTACTTGAGCAGAGAAGGATGTTTACGGTTATAAAACAAATTATTAGCCTTCAGCTGACTGTCTCGTTGTTAATTACCGCATTTAAACATTCGGCACGTTCCATACGAATGCACGTATGCAGCAGCATATATAATCTATATACAAATAAAACGATGCATGTGCATCCAAGTACCTGTACAACATGGCTGTTACTACTACACCATGCTGTTGAGATAACACATTACATCACAAGACATCATCACGCTGCACCATCTCACGATATCACGACACATGTATTACACGGCGCTGTCTCAACATAACACGAGACATCACTTCACTACGTGTCGTCTAAAGATGCCTCGATCGAGACACGGTGAGGACGTGAACGCTTGCTCGCTGCCGGAGCGCAGGGCTTCACCTCTGCGAGACGGAACACAGCAACGAGTCCGCGGAGACGGAAAATTGACCCGAGACTGGCTCAGTCGCCTCCGCGACGTGAGACGCGGCGCCGATGGGGGGACGGAGGGACAGGACAGTGACCCGAGACAGGCGTCTCCGTGAGATGCTGCGGCGACAGGGGGGCGGGTGGGTCTGGGATCGGGTCGGCCGGAGGACCGGAGCACTTACTTGCTGACGGGTTCGGCGTGCTCGGCTTCCTGAAGATGTTGACGATCGTCGACTTGCGCTTGCTGTCGTCCTTGCGCTTGTCCTTCTTGCCGACGCAGTCTTCATGGTAGGGAATGTTATCCACGCAGTGTTTGTGCAGGTTGAAGTCACAGTCTGCACGAGAAGAGAACATGAGAGAGGCATGTCATTCTCATAGCAATGTCAGATTCGCTTATCAATATTATAGCGCTGACGCAAGCTCGCAAAAAACCCGCAATATTAAACATGCATTCCCGCGAACATTTTTGTGACAAACCACTGTAAGAACGTAAGTAAATAACTCACTACACTTTAACTGAACGTTAGCTTTGAAAATAAAACTGTAAAAATATGTATCAAGCCTATATTCCCTCAACGAAAAAAGAAACTCGAAAAACGCGTTTCGCCGCGGTTCTGTATCATGGCGGCAAGAGTCGACGCAGGTCACGTATAACCAGCACAGCTATAGATATCATATAACACATGTGTTATATGATATCAGGAGTAGATAATAGGGAATTCCCTAATTCATGAGCATAATTATGCAGGCTTCATGACCTTCAGCGCTTGCAACACCGCATAGCAACAAGAGGCGTCACAACATCGCCGCAGTGCGGTAAAAGTAAACGCTATTTGAAACATTCGACATGACACTTTCACCTTGTAGTCTAAAAGCTTTGAATGAACGTATTCCTGAGCAATTTTTCCCCCCTATCATAATTATATAGGCAAGTACAAACGTGCAATGTTAAAATAATTCATTTTTGCCTGATTTTTTGTTTTCCGCTTGAAACCTCGAGGCAGGGCACCTTTAAACAATACTGAAAATAAACTATGTCATCTAAATATCACCAACACAATGTGCATGCCCCTCTTATAAAGCATCTATCTGTGTCACTTAAACGGGTAAGAAAGTGTACAATTAAACTCCTGGTTATACTCAGTCTTAGTAATAGCAAAGAGCTTAGAATGATTATTATTATTATCATTATAAGCTCTTTGGTAATAGATAACTGTTATCATCCAGCTCTTACGAATGATATAAAACTGTGACAAACATAGAAAATAAGTCAGTAAACAACATTACGGACCACAGGTGTTGTATCATTACACTGAGGAATATTCTCCTCTATTACTACTGCAGACAGTAGGAACAGATTCATGTAATCAAGAGTGCATAATAGAGACTGTCCATGTTATGTTATGTACTCTTGGTGTACATAATGTTATCCAGGTGGCAGCAGGAGCGAGGGGTCTTGTTATGAACACGAAATTGGGCAATTTTCCAATCGATGCAATCGATCCAATTTTGCAATCGATTATCAAACTGCTCATAACTCACCGACGAGTAAATAGTCAGACCGTTCATCTAATCACAAATCAGAACAGCAATCGCCACGTTCACGTCTAGTTTACTGTAGATGAAACATTTTAAAGTTTAAAAGTTGAGCGGCGTAACTTGCACCCCCTCCCCAGCAAACGTGATCACACACACGCACGCACACATACACACACTGACAACCCGCTTAAAGTAAACCCCCCTCTCACTCATTGCTGCATACTGTACGCGATATCCCAACCATAGTAGCCGAGTTCGTAAAATCAGCGACGCTACTACACACACTCTAATACCGAAATATCAACGAAATACCTGGAAACGCAGTACTATCACGACCCACGTCAACAACAACGACGTGAAATCAGAGCAGTGAGTCACTTCGTGGAAGTATGCACTGCTGACAGTCTAACGACTAGCGGCTAATGATCTGTCCGTGTATTTGCACTGCTCTGCTATGACAAGGCTGCTAGTGTGTCTGTACGTCTCTCTGTATGTGTGTCTCTGTACGTCTGCCTGTCTCTCTCTCTCTCTCTCTCTCTCCCCCCCCCCACTCTCTCTCTGTGTGCGTGCGTGCGCGCGCGCGTGTGTGATACGGGCACGCCTGTCAGTTCTCGCTAGTGCCTGAACAGTCACCCGCCCCTCATCCCTGACTTCTGACACAAGGATATCCTCCACCCACTCCCGTGTTATTATACGCACACGTACACCGCTCGCTAGCAGACACGCAGGCACGCACGCACGCATGCACGCGAAACGCGGATATACATGTGCACAGACGTACGAACGCACGTACACACGGACTACGTACATGAACGCCGCAACAGCACGCACACACGACACGCACGCACGCACTGGAAAGTATATAATTGGAACCGGATGAACCGTGTGCAATTGCTCTTGTATCACCCGAGTCCAGCGTCCGTCTGTTCCACTTGAGTGCAGATGTCCACGCCTGCATCATTCACGATCTGTGTGTGTAGCACGCCATTGTTTAACCGTACGGCGTTAGCCGATGATACCGAAACCATACCACCACACTACATTCACTGCCTCCGCTCGCACGACACGCGGGTCGCTGGCTTACACATGAGAGAGAGCGCGCGAGAGAGAGAGAGAGAGAGAGAGAGAAGGAGAGAGAGCGACGGAGAGAGAGAAGAGGAAAGCAGAGAAGGGTGCTGATAGAGAAGATGAGACGAGAGATGAGAGAGGACGACCGAGGAGGAGAGGGAGTGAGAGAGAAGAGAGAGGAGAGAGACGATGGCACGGCCCTGAGCTTGGGCAGCAGTCCAAACGGACGAGCGCAGTCATTACCTCACTGACTCACGTCCGTGAAGGATTGGTAAGACAGCCCGTGAGAAGATGGAAGGCCACAAAGCGGCACATCGCTGACTATCCATCGATGAAGCGACTAGACTCCCAACACACACAAGAGAGTGGGGCTGAATCGGCAAGCGATAGCGTTGTTCGAACACACGAGCGGTGAAGATAGAGCGTCAAACAAGGCGAAGTCATCAACGGTTATGGTACCAAGGTTTAATGAACTATGACGCGAGCAAAGACCATTCTAAACACTACGTGCGGCGACCGTACACATGACAAAAGTAAATAACATACGCAAGTCGCCATAAAGGGCTGTTTGTTTCGTCTACCATATATGGTCTAGGCCCCCAGGGTATTGCAGAAACGTACCTCGGTACGGTCGGCTATACCGGAACGTCCCTGTTAACCTATTTGGAATTTTTGAATATGTTTAGGGTTACGGCTTAGGTTAGAGTAGGTCGTAGAACTCCTACTAATGTTAGTGACGTAGGCGACGGACATCCTGCACGATTAGATAGCTACCAAGGGTACGTTCCGGGTATATCGGACGTACAGAGGTAGCGTTCCGGCAAGTACCTGGGACATAGACCCTATCAGTAGGACTCCATAACAAAACTTATATTCCTGCAGCTCGGACAGTTCACATAAAGGGTGACAACCAAGACAACAGAGATTACAGTTATAAGGCTAATTAAGAGGTGCGTAACATAGACGTAACACAAATAGAGGGAGACCCCCACTCGGGGGGGGGAACCTAACATGACATGATAGAAAATAGGATGTAAGTCCATTCGACACAACCTATACGGCATAGGCCCAAAGGGGTGTACTACCACAAACAATATTTGTCAATACAACAGGACATCACGATTATAAGGACGATGACAACAACAGAATAGTTAAGATAAATCGGTGGTCGTTTATGAAGATGAGAGAGGAGGAGAAGGGGAAGAAATGGGAGAGGAAGGGGAGAGAGGGGACAGAGAGAGAGAGAGAGAGAGAAGGAGAGGGAGGAGGAGATAGGAGAGATGAGCAGAGATGCGAAGAGAGAGATGAGAGATAGATGAGGACAGGGAGAGGAAAAAGACGAGGAGAGTAGCAGGCAGAGCGAGAGGAGAGAGGAGATGGACGAGGGAGAGGGAGGGAGACGGAGAGAGAGAGAGAAAGGGGGGCGAGGAGGAGAGAGATAGGAGAGAGGGAGTGAGTGAGTGAGTGGTGGTGAGACGGAGAGTGATGTGAGTGGAGCAAGAGAGAAGAGAGCAGAGAGACAAGAGAAGAGAGAGATGAGAGGAGAGACAAAAGAGAAGAGAGAGAGAGATGGGGGGAGAGAGAGAGAGACGGAGATGAGAGAGAAGAGCACCGAGGAAGAGAGAAGAGAGATGAGAACGACGAGAGAGACTGATAAAGACGAGAGCTAGTGTGTAGAGGAGACGAGAGAGCTAGAGAAATACAGAGGAAGATGCTGACAACCTTCGTCTCCGTGTCTGCTCGGTGAGCGCTGTCTCTCAACGAAGAACGACCCCAGCTCAAGTGTCTTCCGCAGCGCGGGCTGTAGCATGCGCTCCATGGCTCGCTCCCTACGCGTCACGCTGCCGCTCGTTTCCCGATTCACTGCTTATATCTCGCTGCCGCCTACGTTCTCCCAGATTCCACTGTTATAATCCTCGCTGCCACCTATGTCCTCCCAGATTCCACTGTTATATATCCTCGCTGCCACCTATGTCCTCCCAGATTCCACTGTTATATATCCTCGCTGCCACCTATGTCTTCCCAAACTCCATTGTTATATATCCTCGGTTCCACCTATGTCTTCCCAGTTTCCACTGTTATCCTCGCTGCCACCTATGTCCTCCCAGATTCCACTGTTATATATCCTCGCTGCCACCTATGTCTTCCCAAGCTCCATTGTTATATATCCTCGGTTCCACCTATGTCTTCCCAGTTTCCACTGTTATCCTTGGTGCCACCTACCTCCTCCCAGACTGCACTGTTATATATCCTCGCTGCCACCTATGTCTTCCCAAGCTCCATTGTTATATATCCTCGGTTCCACCTATGTCTTCCCAGTTTCCACTGTTATCCTTGGTGCCACCTACCTCCTCCCAGACTGCACTGTTATATATCCTCGCTGCCACGTATATCCTCCAAGATTCAGATTCCCCTGTTATATATCCTCGCTGACACCACTGTACTGAGCTCGCCAGGTGCCACAACAAATAGAATAGCTTCCCTCTTATGTACGCTAGCGCACCTTCCTCCGCTGACAGCCACTGCAACTATACTGCCTATGTGTGTATGTGTGCGTGTGTGTGTATGAAGAGGAAGGGTGCATGAGCCGGCCCACCTGACCGCAGACGAGAGCCGCATGCGCAGAAGCGGGCCGGCACCCACGTACGGTTACCATCAGCAGAGAGGTGCGGATTAAGTAGGTCACAAGGTATTACAGACGCGTACAGCACCTGGTATCTCTACGATATGCTGTTATCAATTAACGTGGCGGTCTCAGAGAGGTCTGCGGCGCATACCTGAGATTTTTAACCTGAGATACCTGAGCCGTGTACTTTGCACAGCGGCGTTTTTTGGCAGCTCTTTTGCTACCTCACACCCGATACTTAACAGTACAGTAGCCACTTCAACCAAACTAGAGCAATACAGGAGTCGCAGCAAAGCGACTTTACTAGAGATTTGTGATCGCTCTAAGATGCGGAAACGTTATACGAATTGAAATCTCATGAAATCTATACGATATGAAACGCAACCTACATGGGCGGTTCCTATTGCATAACACCAAAACGAAACAAAGGAGTTACTGATCTGCACAAATAATGCAAATATCAGACCGAATAATTGGAAAAATAATTTCGTCTAATGGTGCGCCCACGGTATAACCTCTGCGATGAACGCTAGAAAATTCCGTGTGCGGTCATGACGATTCAGTCTCATCACGTGAAGGTATCGGGGACCACACGGGGACCGTACAAACAAAACGTCAACATAACAACACAGGCGCCTCACGTAGCATTCACGTAACCTCACTCACGGCTCAGACGAGTTATAAAACCTGTTTTCACACCGTAGAAACGCTAGCACTTATCAGAGCACTGTGGCACTTGACAGTTAGCAAACCAATATCCATTAATGCTGACGTCATCTGCTTCTGTACCTTTAACATGCCCTTGGATACTTTAACGTTGACGCCTTCCAGCTTTGATAACGTTATCACCCTTCATATCCATTGTATTTGTAATAGGAATGTTCATCTACAGGAACCTCTGTCCACCCTATGTTATAATAACATGGTAAACTTATGATGATATTTACACCAGCTATCTACCTTAACAGCCTGCATAGCTATGTTTTTGCCTCTCATATTATATTACTTCAACACTTACTTTTTACACCCAGGTCCCTGCAGCTATGTTAATTATAATGTCGCTCACACCATAATAGAATATACTAGTATATTAACACTCACACAACCTGCTACTCTTCCCTGGCGTTTTTAATGTTAACACCCACCCTGCAGCTACAGTAAGTTGACACCTCTCACACCATACTACCATTAACACCGACACTAATCAGAGCTTTATCAATGCTAACACCCGTTAGGGCTAATAATGATATTGGTAGGTAGTACTTAATGACGCATGGTATTAAAGATAACAGCGAGTATGGCTCTCTGCCAGGGTATTAGCCAGGAATGAGTATTGTGGGAGTGCAATTTTTTTGTACGTGTGTCTCAGTCAAGGCTTTAGATCAATATTTTAGGCCGTGCTACACATTTTTGGCCGTGCAGTTTCAAAACTGACCGTGCAAATCACGGCTGCACGGTTAATACGTTGCTCACTGCGAGCTGCACTTACTGTCACACTTCCAGCCTTGGAAGCCGATGCCCCACAGGATGCGGTCGCAGACCTGACAGTTCGTCACCGTCGTGTAGTGTGCCTGCTGGAACTGGTGGCCCTTCACATACAGTACCTGCAAGAGTTCATTGAGCATCATTATTAGTAGGTATATGTGCGTGTGTGTGTGTGTGTGTGTGTGTGTGTGTGTGCGTGTGTGTGTGTGTGTGTGTGTGTGTGTGTGTGTGTGTGTGTGTGTGTGTGTGTGTGTGTGTGTGTGTGTGTGTGTGTGTGTGTGTGTGTGTGTGTGTTTATGTGTGTGTGTGTGTGTGTGTGTGTGTGTGTGTGTATGTCTGTGTGTGAGTTTACATGTGTGCGCATGTGTGTGTGAGGGTTTGTGTATGTGTGAGCGCGTCAGTGCGTGCATGCGTGTATGTGTGTGTATGTCCATGTACGCATGAGTGTGCATGTGTGTGTATGTGCATGTGTCTGTGCATACGTGTGTGCATGCATTCGTGTGTATGCATACTGGTGCTTGTGCATGTGTGTTAATGCTCTTACACCAACAGTACATGATTTCACTCTCTTTCTACGAAGTCTCACAAAACGTCAACGTATCTGTTATCATTAGTGCTCTTACTAGATCTCACCATCCCCCTCTCCTTACAACGTGGAATGACCTAAAAGTCACCTATCTTGTGTGGAATAGCACGAGTGGCATTAGCGATTAAACCGTGAAGACGCACTTGAGTGATCGATCACCAAGCGTTCGTGACAAGCACATGTGAGGGGAACATTGCAGGCAATGGCTGATATGTACGGATTCATGCGTTTGCGTGCGGCACGTGCCAGAAATCTCTCTCCACCTCGAGAAATCTGCGCTTTATTTAGCATCGTTACCATCGAACACGACGGACCACAAGCACTGTGCACTAATCCTCTCTCCCCTCATCTCCCTGCTCCTTATCTATCCTACTCTCTCTATCCTACCTGCTTGCTCTCACTATAAACCGCTTCTACAAGAAACACGTATCGGACAAGGCACGCAACTACATCTATCACGCCGCAGCGGTGGACGGCGTTGGTAGCGCCCCCTGGCGGCGTGAGTGGCGACTTGCCTTGTTCTTCGAAGACTTTGACGAGAAGCGGAATCGAGATTTGTGCGGCCCGCAGAACTGAGGCACTTTCTCGTAGATCTTCTCGATGTTCTGCCCCTTGCAGCCGATCGCCCGCATCAGCGTCGCGAGAGCACACGCTAGCGCCACACTGTGGCCAAAAAAGAAACTTGTCAAAATTTTCTACTCACTATGTGTAGCGGATTTAATGACTCACATTCCAATTACCTCCTAACTTCATTGCCCCCCACCCCCAACTCCTTTAAATTTCCTGTACTTCTTTTAAATGTCCAGTATTAGGCACATAATGCTATCAGGGGTGATTAATGAGAAATTGTCATTTGTCAATATTCACCCCTGATACTACCAGACGGCCTGATAATCAAGAGGTGAGAGATAACTGTTGATAAAAGAGCATCACTTTGCAGTCTAGCTACACCACCCCTCCAAAAAATCAATAGGTCAACACTGTATTAAATCAATACAAAGACCAATACCACCATGTAGAACCAATTGAAATTTCATGCCATATATATATATATCAGGAGTTAATGGAGACAAAGTTTGTCTTCATTAACTCCTGATATATATATATATATATATTTGATGCATGTACATAGATTTTCTTTCATTTAGAACTGGGGTAGAAACCGTAGAGCTAGAAAGTTAGTGAGGGGTCATGTTTACTGCGCCACGGCACCCCGGCTAAGCCCGCATCTAGAGCATACTAGAGGCTGCAGACGTTTATTCCGACACTAATCAGCATACAATACAGGTCACCACGACGCCATTACGACGACACGCGCTCATAAATAACAGCGCGTACGTACGAGCAGCGCGTGCCAGCCACCAGGTGCCCCGCGCTGTGACGGCTCAGCGACGGACGTGTGACCTCACTAGCCTAGCACTGCAGCACTTTGCTACCCGCTGACGTCTCAACTATAGCCAGTGTGTAGAGAAATTTAAAAAAAATTGCCGATTGCGTGTGATATTTTATGACCGCGGTATGCGGTATTTCTTGGGAGGGGGGGGGGGTCAGTATGCATTTTCAACTCTTTACTCCTGTTCATGTTCTCTTGTTGTGAGTTGCACTTACATTTTATCACCTTGGTTTTCGAAATCGTCTCTGCAAACAAACGAGGTAAGCAATTACGTAAACAACAAAAGGAACCCGGCTTTCGGCATTGCACTTATACAGTGCGACTTATAGTATGAGATTCGCCGTTGTTTACGCCAACCGTAAAATTCTCGCTATACTCGGTATTACTGGGACATAAATTATAACCCGATTAAAAAGATTTCGCATGTCAGATGGAATCGTTTCCACAGACTGCAACTGCACAGAAGAACTCGCACAAATCTTGGACAGTTGGAAGGGCGTGCACTGACACAAACATTCATGCATCAATATTGACTGCATTACTCGCGTTAGTCCCTAAAGTAAAAGCCACCGAGTCAGTCGAGTGGTGCGCTCATAAATATGAGATTACCTTCAGCAATATTCAACAGTAAAATACGCGCCAGTAACATACTATGTCTCAACGAAGCCACGGCCACGTCGCCCCGTTGCAGCAGTATGCCAGCATCTCCACCACCAGCATCCGTTGCCATGGCTACTGTGAGCATGAACGAGATGATGACCAGTTGCGCCAGAGAGGTTATGGAAACTTACGATAGTTGTTCAAGATGGTTCAGCAACACTTGTTCTGCAATTTTCAACTCTTTACTCCTGTCCATGTTCTCTTGTAAATGACTGTCTCCGTATAAACTACCAAGACCTGTACCAACGCAAAACACATCACATAACTAGATGCAAGAAAAATATCCATACAGATTTCATATTAAACATATTATCTCTCTCTCTCTCTCTCATTTCATATTAAACATATTATCTCTCTCTCTCTCTCTCTCTCTCTCTCTCTCTCTCTCTCTCTCTCTCTCTCTCTCTCTCGTCTATCTCTCCCTCCTTCCCCCCTCTCTCTCTCTTTTTCTCTTGCTTCCTCTTTCCCACTTTTTCTTTCTCTCTGTCCTCCCCTCCTCTCCCTCTCCCTCCGCGCCTCCTCCCCCTCTCCCTCCGCCCCACCTTCCCTCCCTCGCTCCCTCCTCCTTCACCCTCCCTTTTAACATCTGCCCAGCAAACGTACCTAGTGCCCTCTTTGTTCTGAAGTCCGCGAGCATCTCGTTCACTTCACAGTTGGCGATGTGGCGCACCTGTCTGAACACCGATCGCATCACCGACTCGATGTCTGAGTGGTTAGCGAGCGTGTTGTCTATGTCCGTACAGACTGTCGTCTCCACGTTGACACGCAGCGGCTGCAGATGAGACGAGAGCAGACAGGCAGTCAGGCAGGAGTGCATGCATTATTGTGTAAATTATGCAGGCATGAAGACACGTACGCACGCATGCATGTGCAAGCACACACGAGCGCACGTACTCACGCACGAGTGCAAGCACACACGAGCGCACGCACGTACGCACGCGTGCAAGCACACACAAATGCAAGCACGCACACGTGCATGGACGCACCCACACGCACGCACACGCACGCACAGACGAACACACACTCACACACATGTACGCGCACAAATACAATGCAAATCCATTTGAAATCCAGTGGTAACATCTAAAAGCAGACTGTCCTCTGATTACAATGAGCAAGGGAAATGAGAGTTGCTGGTTGTCATGGCTACGTTGAAGTCCTCGCTCTGCCCCGCCTCGCACCGCCCATCCCGCATACTCACCGCGTCCGGGACTAGGAAGGAGGAATGGATTTCGTAGGCCCATCGCTTCATGTCTTTCACCGTTCCCTGCATGTACACATCTGTGATGACGTAGAATAACTGCAAAAGGAGAAAAAAGCTCGAGGTTTCGGCGGATAACGACTCAAAACCCCTGCAGATATCAGACGATAAAAATTCCTACACAATGGAGAATGATGAAGCATCGTCAGAGCGCTATTCGATTCCCGCGCGCTTCTTGCGAGTGCATTGCACTTTCCGTAATATTTATAACGGCTCCGATAACATTTCGGAGAGTTAGCCGCCGTCGTGTCGATATTTGCCGTAAAATCCGACAGAATGCAACCCGACCAGAGTGATGCTGCAAATTAACAGAAGCGTATCGGAAGCCCTATGCGAGATGACTTTCGCATAATATTCCGCGTTGCCCTCGGCAACTGTCTCCGAGGAAGTTGCGAGGTGAAACATCGGTCACAGCTTTAGTCGGCACCCTCTCACTGGGTTGCTTCACACTACCAATCGTCGCGACCGTTGTTCACGAACATCGAACAACGAAAGCGACGATCTCTCAAACTTCGAACAATGTGCATGACAATCTCTTAAACTTCGAACAATGTGCATGACGAACTCTCAAACTTCGAACAATGTGCATGACAATCTCTCAAACTTCGAACAAGGTGCATGACGAACTCTCAAACGTCGAACAATGCGCGCGAAGACCTTTCGAACATCGAACGTCCGAGACGTTCTGCGAACGTTAAACAATGCGCGCAACGACTTTCCGAACATTGAACAACGTCCGTGCCGAACCCCCCTATATCAAACAATGCATGCTATGACTTCTCGAACATCGAACAACGAGCGCGATAAACGCCGTGACTCGCAGATGACAATCAAATCGCAGACGGATTGACGGATTGGTTGCGCGGGGTGATTATGAGCCATGAGCTTGTGTGTCACGAGCCGGTGACATGCGAGACGGCAGCATCGGGCTGCCGTTAGTGCGATGCATCACACGCCGCGTGGGGTCGCGCGAAGCCATTCACGACCCGCCACCCGCATCTCTCGCGATCACGACCAGCTGTTAAAACAATACCCATTAACCGTGTTTTCACTCCCCGCTTCCTGCCCGCATACTAATCAATTACGGAGACTGGCCGCGATAACACCGTGATTTCTCGCACCGAATGCTCACGTATTTCTCGCTCAGTGATACCGCCCCCCCCCCTAGGTGATGAAAAAAAAACACGCCCACACAATGTGCCAAAAGATTAGTAAATAATAACATGATCATAACGCAGCGATAAGACGTGCGCTAGACTCATTTGCAACATTTGCAGGTGAAATAATTCTAAACGATTCTTAATATCCACAACAACATCATGGTAGTGGTATATGAGGGTCCCCGTGTATCTCAGTAAAGGATGTAACTAGGAGTATCCGATCTCGTGAGCCATTGGCATCGTTGTCAAATGGGCATCAGCATCACAGATAGCTACCACAGTGCTGCTAACAAAGAAGAGCTGGCCTTACCAAAGGGTTCGGATCGCTGTTTGATATCAAGTAGTTGAGAAAGACTGCTAAGTGAGCAGGTTTGGTTTTCAGCGTAAGCAGCTTGTTGAATGGGCCATGGTCGTCAATCTGTAAACACAAACAACAGCATGAGGCACGACACGGAAGTGACGAGTTATCGGCATGCACTCTCACACTCAGATTCTTACTGCGCAGTGCGCACCAGTACGAAATGAGTGTAAATTTCCCGCATTATGATGTGACTCCACGTAAACATAACGTCTATAATATCTATCTTGTCAATCGAAACGCCGGCAGCATTGTCGATTGCCGTTACACCGCGTGATCTCTGTTTCGACTAGTACAGGCCCACAATATCTCAGCCGAAGCACTTGGCCCCATATGTGATTTGGAATTTGGAATTTTTCAGATTTTACAACAGTAGTGCAATGCATGTGCTATATATTGTGTTAACGCACTAATGCAGTGTTTGGCAGCACCCCGTAAGCAAACATGTTAACATTTCCGCAAGGAACCTTATTCATATTCACACCGAGTCGAATAAATAAAGAATAACCATAGTATTAGTTTATTTATATAGTCATCCGCAATACAGTACTTCACGAAAAAAATAAATTTTAGGGCTTTTCGAATTCGACAAGGGATTGTGGACTGTACATGAATTATCGTGTAATGCACTTACAATCGAAACAGAGTAAGCGATATTATCTGTCGACACATCACATAAAACTTTTATCGACTAACGCTAACTCCACCATATAGCAACTGTCTGCTCATACATCTACAAACGTCCGTATCAACTAGCAACAGAACTCAAACGACATCACCATAAACAGAGTTTATAAGCAAGTGTTTATTGCAAAGCTGCAACTTGGCAAAGAGCGAAACGAGGACGATCACGACATGCCTTGTTAAGCACACCATGTCATTTATACGTCAAAATAAATGGAATTGCGTTCAGCAAGCAATCACGTTGATTATTATTCATTAGAGCTGGTTTTAACGCACGTGATTATTATATAATTCACGCACGTATTCATTAGGTGCTTTCACAAATATTCATATGAGATTGCGAACACGTGTACAACTACAAAACTAATGGATGACAATTTAACCATAAATTATTCGTATGCGAAAATACTCATTTACAGTTTGTTTAATTAATATAATGACGAAATTTACGAAAGACAGAGAACAGCTAGGACCACGAACAAAACACAACACGTAACAGAGTTGAAAACAGCTTAATGACGATCTAGTAGACGAGAAAGAATTTTCATGATAACTCCATCAACATAGCTTTCCCGTAGCATGCTGCTGACAGTAAATATTCCAACAAGTACTTCATCAAACATCAAACATCTAACAACAACAACAACAACAAAACCAGAGCGACGACAAGTTGAATGGCATTTGGTAATAAGGTTCGCAAGCCGTTTAGCGACAAACGCCCGCTCGATCTGTTAATCAGGCAGAACCGACGTTACTCTGACAAAGTTTCGACTTGCAAACGTGGAGGTTTTGCATGCGGCCATTCGACGAGCATACACAATGTACGCAGATGCACCACACATAGCTCGCACATGTTCCTCAATGACTGAATGTGTTCTGCGATTATTGCATGTGTTCTGTAATGACTGTACGTGTTTCACAATGACTGCATGTGTTCTGCAATTATTGCATGTGTTCCTCAACGACTGCATGTGTTCTGTAATGACTTACGCGTTTCACAATGACTGCATGTGTTCCTAAATGGCTGCATGTGTTCTGTAATGGATGCATGTGTTCTAAAATGACTTCATGAGCTCCTCAAAGACCGATTGTATTCTGCGATCACTGCATGTATTCTACAATCAGTGCGCGTGTTCTACAGTCACTGCACGTGTTCTACAATATACCTAGAAGTAGTCTACAGCAATCGTGCATGTTCTGCAATATTGACATCTGCTTCACAACACCTATACTAACACTACGATGGTGTGGCATGTGTTTTACAACGCCTGCGTGTGTGTTCTCCGATAGTAGGTCTCAGGGGGAGAGATAGTGAATATAGAAATAAGTTGTGGATATAGAAATCAGTTAACCCTAACCCTAACCCTAATCCTAACCCTATCCCTAATTCTAAAATAAAACAAAATTAGCCAAAAATAATAAAAAATAAAATAAATAAGAGACAAAATTAGCCAATCAGAGCCGTCCCCTAGCGGATCACTATCTCTCCCCTGTGCAAAATTCGTTCTCCGATGCCTGCGGGTGTCCGGCAGAACGGTCTGTGGCATGTGGCTTGCAATAGCTGCACGTGTACTGAGATGCAAGCTACAATGGCTGCATGGCAGGTGTGTGTGTTGCAACACTGACACAACTTAGAACTCGTTATTCGTCTTCACGGGAGAATGCACGGCTAATAACATATAGCACTAAGTCAAACTCAGACAGACTCAATCTCAGTCTCCAGGCTCTCGTCACGCGAGACAAGACTTCGGCCGCTGCGGTCAACGCTCGCCAGGTCATCACTGCACGCGACTTTACGAATCACTCACGACCACAACCATCGACACTCAGCGAAAGATGATTCGGATGTCACGACAGGAATGTCACGACGCCAACGGCCGGTGACAAAATAATCGCACCAGCAACTCGGAAGCGTGCGATGTTACTGATGTTTTGAGTGACAGTCGAGCCACTATAGTAGGTACTACGAGTGTCAATAGTCGGACATCGTGCGTCGAAGGACATATGAGTGCATGTCTATGGTCAGCTTAGAAGAGTGTCAGTATTCAGGTGGTTGAACATCGTCCGGCGATGGACATAAGTGTCTATGGTGAGATAAGAGTGTCAGTATTCAGACGGTTGAACATCGTCCGTCGATGGAAATAAGAGTGCCTATGGTCAGATAAGAATGTCAGTATTCTGGCGGTTGGACCTAAGAGTGTCTATGGTCAGATAACAGTGTCAGTATTCAGACGGTTGGACATCGTGCGTCCATGACGAGCTTAGCCAGCCTGAGACCACCGTGACAAGGGCGCGGAGACTGAGAGAGAGCAAGAGAGATCGAGAGAAAGAAAGATCATTACTGGCATGCAGCGAGCATGTGGAATCATGCTAAGGCTCCGTGCGTTTTCGAGGAGGGGTTCAAGATCATAGAACACAGACTGTGATATTACCCCGACACCAGCGTTTCTCTTCTGGGCAGCACGGGAAAAAAACACAACAGGCATCACTTTAAACATCGAAAAAATAACTCGGTGACTCACGGCGCACGTTGGAATGCACGCGCTCGTTAACAACATGGCGGTAGGGAATTCAAACGGTTGCCTCGTGGAATACCTGCCGCCCTCCTCTAGACTGACTTCGTAATATTGACGGTCGAAACCAACGGCTGATGTATGTATTCAAATTGGTGAAGCCACGGCCATTGATGGTACGATTAGCTTTGCAGTGGGCAAAATCGAATTTCCGGGAACACGAAACCTATCTTTATCAAACCAATGACCAGTTTTTTTTATCGTTTTTTTTGGTCTGTTGTCAATCAAGAGGGACGCTATGTGTTTATTTGTGATTCCTGCTTGTTGATTGGTGAGCAACTCCGATGGCACCAGGCAGAGTTACAAAGCCCATCTTGACGCTGTTGATGCTGCATGATGCATGATCATATGCAGTTATGCATCATGTCGAGTACAACGTCAAAGACAGTGGAATCAGTCTAGTGCCACTCTTCCACATTAACTCTCCAGGGTGACGTAAAACACTGCCTTATCTTCGCAGCAGTTGCTAGCTGGTATTTCCACGTGCCAGCATTTGTTTTAGAATTAGCTACGCGAATCACCGTCACCATAATACCCATGCACAGAGGTTTAATTTTGCGTTACAACAGCCATAGAAGCCAAGCACCAACAAAATGCTTCTCAACATGTTAATGAGCAACTTTAGGACTTTTCCTGTTGTTATCCCGCCAACCTTTTGGAAGCAAGTCTAGCAATAAGGAGCAACAAGCACCAGGGTTCATGCAAGCGGAAGCTGTGTCACACCACGAGGTAAATCGCCTAAACGGGAGATAGCGACAGGCATTAGGCTTGCATTTTTCGACAAATGGGTTGCAATTCCGAAAAAAAAACAGGTGTGCCTACTTTATACATGTAGCTGCCTATGGTCGGCGTAGTGGGCTCTGACTGGAACTATAAAAAAAAGCAAAATCTCAGGAGAAGCCAGTGAGAGCACTCTCACAGATCAAAGAGGGAGAAGGGTGAGCAGGAACAGCAAGGAGTTCTATACCCTCTCTAGCCTATAACATAAGCTCTTTAAATCCCACTGGCGGACGAGGGTAGTACATTATTCGCTTACGATCGACGTGTAAAGAATTCTGACAGGTTTGCGGGCAACATTCGAGTATGAATAATCGGAACTGTGCGTTAACGATGCAAACAAGCTCACGTTTACCCGCCATTTTTACAGACATCTATACATTGTACTGCAATGCGTGCATTAATGATTAATAATTGTATTATCATAATGCCTCGCCGTTAAAAGCGTCGTGTATTCATTATCCGCGCACTCTCGTGAGGTGAGCTGAGACCATCTAATGGAAATAACGTGACTGATCCACGATCGCATCCCCACGCCCCGCCTCCCTCCCTCACCGATCCACGATCACATCCATGCATCCCGCCTCCCTCCCTCACCGATCCACGATCACATCCATGCATCCCGCCTTCCTCCCTCACCGATCCACGATCGAATGCGTCACATAACGACGTTGTAATTAGCTTACACGCGTGCGCGAATTCCGCTCCCAATAGTTTTTCGATTTGATCAACGGGAGCGGGTGAGACGCCGGGTGCTCGAGACGAATCCGTGCGCACGCAGCTTCACGCGGCATCAGCCCACCGCGCCGCGCTTTCCTAAGCCTCGCCGCGCAGGAAGTATTAGCATAGCTGCCGAGCTTAGACGGCCGGCAATAGGCTAATAGGCTTTTCCGAGTCGCGTGCTCCACCTCTGCTAATCACGATCGCGCGGAACGCCGCCGCCGCGATGAGATGATTTCTCTACACGAGGGCGCCGCCACAAAATGCCGAGCTCCGCCGCGCAGATACCGCTGGGTTTCTGGGATGCGGGAATGCAGGCAACTGTGAACGCCGGAGGATGGCGCGCTCTCCCGCCCTAGCTATAACCAGACTTCTCTCCTGCACTCCCGTCTCCCTGGATGAGCAATTACCCACAATATAGGGAGCCCAGAATGAGGGATTCCCCCAGGTTAGTCTGGGTTGACAGATTCCATCTGGGAGATGGCTGCATTCTACCACGGGGTGGCTGAACAACGAATTCCCCTAGGTGTGGCCAGAGAATCAGCCATTAGAGCAATGATTTTCCCCTCTCATCTGCACTCCTGACACCTGACCGTCACATTTCGCCCCTCCCTTTCTCCCTGTATAAACCAGTCCCAGGGGCAAAAACACCCTCCCAAACTCTAGACATGGCCTCATGTCCCATCAGGGGGACTAAGCAGATAAGGAGGAAGGAAGGAAACTCTCTAGATGAAGGAGTCCTCCCTTGAGGGAGCAACAGGCCAGAGAGAGAGAAAAAGAGAGGAAGAGAGAAAGAGGAGTCGCCGCGTGGACGCAGGGCGCGGTCTTACCGGCTCGGGCTCCGCGGAAAAGTCGTCGTCTTCCATCGACATGACCTGCACCTGGCGTGGTGAGACGTCGGCGTAGCCCGGCAGCTGTGCAGGCGGCGACAACGGCTGAAGCGTCGGCTGCAGAACCTGCTGCTGCTGCTGCTGCTGATGGTGCAGATGGGGTGGTATCTTGGGTGGTAACACGCTCTGCAAGACGCACGTTAGATGCCATGAGTCCATGAGCGCACACTCCTGCGCAAGAAGGAGGTTGTGTGGCCCACGGATGGGGAGATTGTGGGGCAGAGAATTGGAGAAGGATTGAGGGGCAGGGAGAGAGTGGGAGTTGGAGAGAAAGGTATAAATACACACATAATACATAGTCTTGTGTCAATGTCAACAGTTGGCCATGATTTCATAAGTGTAATGTATAGAAAGTGATAAAATAGAATTTTTTAGTAAGGTGTTGATCATGACTCACATTGGACTATAATTAGCCTCAATATTTACCTATATCAGATGGGACTCAACTACAGATAATAAATAGAATAACATAATTCTCTAGGTTTAATACAGAGTAAGATTCCTATTACTTTAAATAATGAAATTCCTTCACGATTCCCTCACAATATTAAACAAATACCTCACAATTACTTAATAGCTCATCACAGACTATTTACACTACACAATAGAAAAATATAAGTCAACGTACACATCACCATCAATACATTACGAAACCACGGAAGAAGAATACCGTGCACGAATTCTAGAGAACTAAAGCCTAGCGCAGACTTGCGACTTTTGGTTGCTCGTCGCTGCAACCTGCAACCGCATGCGATCGGTCGCACGCTTCACCGTGTGTGCGCATGCAAGCGACTGCTGTTAACAGCAGTCGCTTCTTTCCATTGTCTTTTTGTCTTTCCATTGTCTTTCAATGACTTATATTACCCGCACACATGCGATTTCGAAGCGATTGCGAGCGATGAGTTGCTGGAAATCAAACCTGCAAGCGACCAGAATCGCTACGAGTTGCAGTTGCATGTTCCCGCAGACTTGCAACTTTTTCATGCAACTCGGCTGCAATTCTAGAATCGCAGCCGAGTTGCATGAAAAAGTCGCAAGTCTGTGCTAGGCTTAAGTGACACAACACGAGAGCATTCACATTTTTATCAGTTGGTTGGTCTTCAGTGCACTCATCCATCTTCTCATCGTAGTCGGGTGGAGGCGTGCTGGGAGGAGACTCGGCCACGTCAGATATCTCATCTCTCAACAGCTCCTGCAAGACACGGCCGCCGCCGTGCAGCGATATTAGTAGTGCCACTTGCACATGTCAACTGAGATCCGACGTGCTATCTCACGTTCACAACAACGAAGTATGCGCAAAATTTCAGTTCCACGACATTATATGCACACATATTCCACGACATTACATGCACACATATACACACAAACACACACGCACACACGCACGCACGCACGCACGCACGCACGCACGCACGCACGCACGCACACACACACATACATACATAGACATATGCTCATGCATATACGGATATACACTATTATACAGACTGTAATTCAAGTAGCTGTAATTCTCTCTGCAAGCTGTTCACACCCATGTCTATATAATGCCCACAATGCAGCACATCCGTACGATCCACACCGCACACACGCTCGCCAAAATTTAATATGAACTCAAAGCGAACATTGGCATCCCACGACGACGAAGGAGGAAAATGTGTGCATCGACAATTAAAGCGACATAGTCATTAAGGGATTCCACATAACGCACCCTATGTGGGTCGAAAATCGAACGTTAATTGAAACGTCATGGACCAGCTATGAATGCCAAACTATGAATAATCATGTAAACTAACGAATCTGGCGGCCCCCGCACATGACAAATCCTATTACCATGTCCTATGACATAACCCACGTACAAACTATATCCGTAGAAGGAGATGCGTAATAGCATAAACACACACGTACACACACACGCACGCGCGCACGCACACGCACGCACGCACGCACGCACACATACTCACGCATTTGCAAGCAAGCAAACACGCAAGCACGCACGCACGGACACACACGCACATGCACATGCACATACCCACGCATATGCAAGCAAGCACGCACGCACGGACACACATGCACATGCACACATACCCACGTATATGAATGCAAACAAACACGCAAGCACACACGCACACACTGACACACACGCACACACGTTCACACACCGCATCACGCAGATATAGAGAAACACACATGCTAATGCATCCTGTGGTCAACTTCCACGAATTACAGCAGACACTAGCTAACACAGAAATATGCTAGAGCTCTATTACAACAAGAGGTGCTGACTGTCACATATCCACGAGCAGCTACTGATTGACACTTGACGAAGCACTATATTTAGCTAGCTACTAGTTCATGACGACTGCATGGTACCAGGAACGACAAACATGTTCCTACTACTCCCATGTTCATAATGATAGTAATAGGAACTTCACTTTGATGCGTGCAAACTAAACAAGACAACTTAGAACAACTTACAAGACAACTTAGAACTACTGTCAGAAGGCACTATGTCTATAATCGTTTAGAATGATAGTAATATGAACTTCACTCTGATAGATACACATTAAATACATCGGCTATAACGCGACAACTACTGTCAGAAGGCACTCAGATAGCTCCAAGCAATTATAACTACATGCATACATAGACACACATTTCAAAGCAATCAAACCACCCCAATCGATTAATTAAACAATAACAAACAAACAGACAAACAAACAAAAACAAACAAAAAACCAATAGTATTGTAAACGTGAAGTCACACCATGCCAGGCGAGCTCTCAATGACCCCTGAATGACCCCAGAGTGGACACGCCAGCGGATTGGTCACAGCGTGCGCTGCACTAACCTTGTCGCGGTCGAGCTTGCGTTGCTTCGGCGACGTCGCGTTGTCGTCGACGACGTTCGCTATCACGTCCGGACTCGACCGCTGCCTCGTGTGAGTTGCCTTCTGCAGCAGACAAAGCAACAGTCACGACCTCACGCGCGACAGCACGCGGCGGCACCAGCCGGGACGACGTCGTCGCTGACGATCGATGCACCGTGCAATACCACGTGGCGGCGCCACGGTAGAGTAACACCACGAGGTGGTGCCACCGTGGAATGACAGCATGTGGCGCCACCTATGACATCATTATCGCTGACGACTCACCATACAATACCACGCGGCGTCACCTACGACATCATTATCGCTGACGATATACCGTACAATACCATGTAGTGCGTTATCGCTGACGAGTCACCGTACAATACCACGCGGCGCCACCTACCAGCTCGTTATTGCTGACAACATGCATGGTCAGAAACACGCGACGTAGCGCAATGCTGGGTAGTAACTCGTTATTCGCACATTTCGCC